TGTGCTGACCGCGTCGTCCTGTCTGCGACGTTAAAGAATTCTTGCGGAGTTTGGGGGATCTCCTTAAATGCCTCCTGGTCAGCACAGTCTGTAGTGACAGCCCTAGGTCAAGGCTAGAGACCGTAGTAGTGTTAGTGTAAAGTCAGAGACTGATCTCTCCTGGAGGAAAGGCTCCTCCCCTTTGTGGGGAAGTGGTTAGGGTTGCCGGCCTACCTGGGGGCATAGGTACCCAGTGGGACCCTAATCCCGTGAGAGGAAAGTTTCGTGCTAGTTATTGGAGTCCACGTCAGTCAGTAGGTCAGTGTGTCCGGGTAGGTCTACGTGGTGAGGAGTGGGACCCCTGTCGTGCACCAACACCACGATGGATGATTATCCGATGTATGGGATACTTGTTGGGTTCTCCCTCTGGGGGACCCTCTGGCGTCTCCTTTTCCCTCTGGGCTTTTGGCCCACTTTTACGTGTAGAGTAGGGCCCACTCGTGGTGGGACTTCCACCACCCCCTACACGAAGGAGGAGGAGGAGAAGATGGCCGCCCTTTTACAGGAGAAAAAGGAGAAGAAGGAGGCCAAGAAGAAGGCCTTGAAGGAGGAGCAGGCGGCCAAATTAAAAAAGATGGAAGAAGAGATGGCCAGGGAGAAAGAGAAGTTGAAAAAAGAAGAAGAAGAGAAGCTGAAGGAGATGGATGAAGAAGAGGAAGGTCCGTCACTGCAAAAGAGTAGCGGGCAGCCCAGAAGTGGTAATGGTGGGAACCTGGAGAAGAGAATATCCGAGTGGGTTGCCAACCTGACTGTGGGAGAAGAGGAAGAAGTTAGTATGTATATCCCGCAGGATCAGCAAGAAGCTGCCATGAGGGCTTAAGATGCAGAGAAAGACCCCCTTAGACGCCAGGTGTTGGAAGATGAGAAGAGGATGGAGTGGAAGTTAGCGGTGATGAGGGAGAAAAAGAGGAGAGTTGACAAGGCAGCAGAGGCGGCGGAAGAACTAGAGGAAGTGAAAACGATAGAACAACAATTAGCCGCCCAACCCGATTTCCCGAATCAGATGCGAGTCATGGCTCGAAGCATCGCATGCCTGGCACGAGTCCAGGCAGATCAGTACGACTTTAGCAGAAGTCAGGATATAGCTGTGCGCTCGATACGATTGGGTTTTCGAGACTTTGCGCGTGAGCTGGTAGGCGCCGTTGGAGTCGAGGTGGGTCATCGCCTCGACAAGACTGAGCGGTTCTATACTGGCGCCATTGAAGGCGTCAAGGCGGCAGCCCCCAAGGAAGAGGAACCACGCCCGCCACGTAGAGAGCCGATCAAGGTCAAATTCCTGGATTCCTATAKTGGGAAGAGGGAAGAGAACTTTGATAACTGGGAGGCCAACGTCAAGACCTATGTGCATTTGCAACAGGTCTCCCTGGATCAGCAGGTCTTGATTGCGATCCACGCGCTTAAAAATGAGGCCGCCAGTTTTGCAAGGTCCTTGGTTCGTGCCGCTAACTGTAGC